CCCCTCCAGCCCCTACACCCCCTCCCTATCTCTGTCACCCCCTCCAGAATCCGTACTTGTGAATTTCCTTGCCCCTCCTTTATCATTGGAATATGGTCTCACATTTATCGCCCACAAGAACAGCCAAGGACACTGTGAAATTCCATAAAGACTGATGTTTTTTACCTCGTCCTCCATCCAGTCTGTTGGGTCGATGGTGTGAGACGGCAGACAGAACTGCTGGCACACCCCACGTTTGTAGTGTACTGTTTCCGATTGGAGAGAGTTATCTTTCACTGTGTAACTGCAAAAGATCCAGATCACAAAATATCAGAGAGGAATAAACAACAGGATAACCTACATCAGAGAGTAAGAAATGGCAAGAAGGCCAACGAAATGGTGGAGAAACTATCTGAGAAAGTAGTGGAGGAGAGGATTAATCTCTACTTGGAGAGATGAAGTTTGATCAGGGATATCAGAGAGACAGGCTATGTCAAACAAACTGAACAGGACTTGTCAGGGAGGTGACCAGGTATGTAGATGAGGGGAATGCAGTTGATGTAGTTTATATGGATTTCTGCAAAGCCTTTGAGAAGGTCCCACATGGGAAGCTGATACAGAAGTTAAAAGCATTTGGGATCCAGAGTAACTTGGCAAGTTGGATCCAATGAGCTTTGAAGTAGGAGAGAGAGCACGGTGCTAGAAGTATGACTGGAGTTTGATGCTCAGTGCTGTACCTCAGTGAGCAGTGCTAGTCCCTTATTGTTCATATATAAAACAATATAGGACAGAATGGGGGAGGGGGATGGTGAGTAAGTTTGTGAATGACACAGAGATTGACTGGGTGGTTCAGTGAAGAAGAAGGTGTTAGGTTACAGGAGGATGGGCAGATCAGTTGCAGATGAAATTTAACCCTGATAAGTGTGTGGTGCTGCACTTTGGAAGAAGTAACCAGACAAGGGAGTATTTAATGAATGGCAGGACACTAGGAAGCTCAGAGGAACAGAGATCTTGGAATATTTGTTCACAAATCCCTGAAAGCAGCAGGACAGATGAATAAAGTAGTTAAGAAAACATATGGGGGAACAGTTGTAGCATAGATTATAAGAGCAGGGAGGTAATGTTGGAGCTGTACAGGACTTTGGTTAGGTCACAGCTGGAGCACTGTGTGTAGTTCTGGGCCCCACACTATAGGAAGGATGTGATTGTACTGGAGGGGGTGCAGGGGAGATTCACCATGATGTGGCCTGGCATGGAGCATTTCAGCGATGAAGAGAAGCTGGAAAAGCTCAGGTTGTTTTCTTTGGAGCAGGGAAGGCTGAGGGGGACCTGATAGAGGTGTGTAAGGACTATGAGGGACATGGAAATGTGACCAGATGTAGCTCCTCACAGGCCATGTTGTTCAGTTGCAGCAGCAGTTGGACACATTGAGGGGCACACAGGGGGCAGAGAATGTGATAGACACTAGTTACAGGGAGGTGGTCACACCACAGGTTCAGTCAGGTAGATGGGTGACCACCAGGAAAGGCAGGCAGGGAGAGCAGCAGTCTCCTGTGGATGTTCCCCTCTCTTACAGGTATATTGTTCTGGATACTGTTGGGGGGGATAGCTCTCAGGAGATGGTACAAGCAGCTGCCAGGCCTGTGGCAACACAAGCTGGTTCTGCGCTAGAGCAGGGTTCGGGCAAAGATAGCGATAGTGGTAGGAGACTCACTAGTTGGGGCACAGATAGGCGTTTCTGTGGCTCTGTCCAGACACCAGGATGGTGTGCTGCCTCCCTGGTGCCACGGTCAAGGATGTCTTGGAGCGGTGGCATGAAATTGTTAAGGGGGTAGGGTGAGTAGCCAGAGGTCATTGTGCACATTGGCACCAACGACAGAGGTAGAAGGAGGGATGAGGTCCTGCGGAGTGAGTACAGGGAGTTAGGAAAGTGGTTGTAAAGCAGGACCGAGGGTATTAATCTCTGAGTTACTAAGTGCTGTGTGCCAGTGAGGACAGGAATAAAAAGATAGCACAGTTGAATGCATGGATAAGGAGCTGGTGCAGGAGGCAATGTTTCAGGTTCTTGGATCATTGGAAACGCTGCTAGGACAGAGGTGACCTGTACAAGAGGGACAGGTGCACCTAAGCCTGAGGGAAACCAATATCCTCACAGCAAGGCCCACTAGTGCTACTTGGGAGGATTTAAACTAGAGTGGCAGGGGGCTGGGAACCACAACAGTAGGTCAGCAAGGGGAGGGATTGAGGGAGCAGGTAGATGTTAGGACCAGTAATACAGGCAGACACAGGTAAATGAAAACTATGGTACTGACAGACGGGCTGAAGTGTGTTTATTTCAATGCAAGGAGTACTGTAGGTGAGAGAGATGGGTGTAGAGCATGGGTCAGTACATGAGACTATGATGTTGTGGCCGTACGGAGACTTAGTTGAGAGGGGCACAGGGCTGGCTGCTCAACATTCCAGGATTTCGTTGTTTTAGGCGAGATGGAGGAGTTGCATTACTATTCAGGGAGAATGTTACATTTGCCTGGTGAGTGTGTGTCACCGTGCCAGGTGATGTTGCTAGGTGTTACTCACTGCGATGGGCTGTGGGCCTGCCCCAGTTAGCTGCAATGCTTTGGGTGGCTACATCAAGGTATGTGGTGCAGTAAAGAGGCACAGCTGAGGGTGAATGCCGCTGCCAGTCAGGAGCATGCACCGCCCCCCCACAAACCCCCACCCCATCCACCTCCCCCCTCACTCCCACATCTCTCAGACTTTACAGTCCAGGGGTTGGGGGCTGGTGTGTGCGACTTGGGGGTGTGGGGATTAGAGAGGGAGTGACTGGGAGAGAGGGACAGGTGGAGGGGAGAGGTGGTGGTGGGGTGGGGGGGGGGGTAATGGGGAATGTGAAGTGGAGGGGTCAGTGGGGAAGTGCTGGGTTTGAACGTTGTTTAGACATCAGCATTCACACAGGATCCACAGGCTAAGGGATTGGATTGAGGCACTGGGTCACTGACAAAGAGAATCAGCTGAGAGGCCAGTGCTGGGTATCTCTGTTCCCTGAATGACATCAGGCACAAAAACACAGTGGATACACTGTCAGCAGGTCAGGGGCTGGGAATCCTGCAGCCAGTAACTCACCTCCTGACTCCCCAAAGCCTGCCCCACCATCTACAAGGCACAGGTCAGGAGTGTGATGGAATACTCCCCACTTGCCTGGATGGGGGCAGCCCCAACAACACTCAAGAAACTCAACACCATCCAGGACAAAGCAGCTGCTTCACTGGCCCCACATCCACAAACATCCCACTCCCTTCCCCACCAACGCTCAGTAACAGCAGTGTGTACTATCTACAAGATGCACTGCAGAAATTCACCAAAGATCCTCAGACAGCACCTTCCAAATCCACGGCCACTTCCATCTAGAAGGACAAGGGCAGCAGGTACATGGGAACATCACCCCCTGCAAGTTCCCCTCCGAGCCACTCACCATCCTGACTTGGGAATATATCACCTTTCCTTCAGTGTCACTGGGTCAGAATCCTGGAATTCCCTCCCTAATGGCATTGTGGGTCAACCCACAGCAGGAGGACTGCAGCGGTTCAGGAAGGCAGCTCACCCCCACCTTCTCAAGGGGCAACTAGGGACAGGCAATAAATACTGAGCCCAGCCAGCAACACCCACATCCCACAGAAATGAATAAAAAAACTTACACACTCACCTGGCACGGTGACACACTCACCTGGCACAGTGACACAAACCTGGCACGGTGACACACTCACTTGCCACGGTGACACACTCACTTGGCACGGTGACACACTCACCTAGCATGGTGACACACTCACCTGGCAAGGTGACACACTCACTTGGCACGGTGACACACTCACCTGGCATGGTGACACACTCACCTGGTA